CGGCGGCTCCCCCTCCTGAGAGCTCACTGGTCTCCCTCCCTGCCTCCCCAGGTGTGGCCGAGCAGTTTGCCATTGCCGAAGCCAAGCTGAAGGCTTGGTCCTCCGTGGACGGGGAAGACTCCAATGACGAATCCTACGACGAGGACTTTGGGACAAACACCAACAGCACCCAGCCAGCTGGTGAGCGAGCAGGAGGCATTGTCCACATCCATGGGGACCCAGGGGCCCTCCCTCTGGGGAGCAGGAGGCTCCATGCATGTCAGGCAATGGGGCAGGGGCTCCCCACCTGTGTCATGTGCCGGAACAGGGGAGAGAAGATGGGGGGCTATGGGGTCCCTGGGTGCCGAACTGGACTGAGTAGATCTGTGTGGGTTAGTGCCAGACACCGTGGGGCTGACCCCTGGCCAGTAGGTAACTAAATAGAGATATCCCCTCTACAGAGATGGGGAAACTGAGGCAGGGAGCCCAAGGCCTAGAGTCAGTGGCAGAGACAGGGATAGATCTCCACAATTCAGCCCCCAGCCCCCCCGTTTCATACACACAGGATGACCCTGCTGTTTCCTAGGCCAGGGGCTCCCCAGAGTCTGCTGGGTGTGCGGTGCCCAGAGCTGACTGCATCATTCCCAGGGAGGGCGCACCATACCGCTGGCAGCTCCAGCCCTTCTGTTCGGCGCGCACGGCGCTGTGCAGGCGAGCAGGGGGGCTGGCGCCGAGCTGCGGCGGAGCGAGCGTGACGTGGGTCATTCCCACTCGACTCGGCCTTGCGGAGGGCGGGTGTTTGTGAGCGGGAGCTGAAGGAAGCAGGCAGAGCTGGGATGACTGGGCTGGGTGGGCACTGGCCCATGGGGAGCAGGGAGAAAAGCATGCAGGCAATCGGCATGGAGCCCAGCCCCAGGGCTGGGGGCCGAAGGAGCCCCATCTAGCCGCACACCGGGCTTGCCTCATGGACGGCTGCCCTGCATTGGGCAGGGGCTCACTGAACTGCCAGGCGATGACCAGGTCCCTCCCCTGAGAGCGCCAGGCGGTGCTCAGTGGTTCCCCTTCCAAAGCGCCAGCGTTACGTGTCCCCTACCAGGGCGCTGCCCGCTCTCCTGGCTCCGCCAGGGCCGGAAGACGTTCGCAGCCTTCTGCAGCTTTGGTTACAGCTTTAGATACGTGTCCCCGGCCCCTTGAGCTGCCTCACTGCTCCCCCCCTTTTCCAGGTGATTCATTCAAGCCTGGGGCAGATCCACGGGCCCCTTCCTCCCCCCCCCCCCGCCAAACTTTGGGCCAGGCTGCAAGTCGGCCATTGACTCCTCTCTGCCTTCTGCCCCACTGCCCGCGTCTACCAGGCACAGCACCTCACCTCTCCCCTTCTTGTGAGCCTAGGGGACCTGCACAAGTCTCAGTGGGCAGCGCAGGGCGTGCCAGTGCTCCCCCCTTTCCGAGGCTTTGTGGGGGGCCAGCCTGAGAGGGACCTCAGGGCGCGTCCCCTACATCAGCCCCTGCCGCCGTGGCAAACAAAAAGGAAGGAGAGGCCGATGCACGTGTCCTCTCCAGGCGTGTAATCCGTGTCCTTCTGTGCAAACAAAGGTGCTTTCTCACAGTCATTAGATGCCCACTAATCTCGGGCAATTTGCATATCAAAGGCAGTCAGCAGTAATCTGCCCACACTCCATCCCGAGAAGTGTCTAATTGCTCTTCTGTAATTAGAGGGAAAGTGGAAGAGCTGGCGGATGGGAGCCGGGGCCTGATTGGGTTTGTGGGCGTGGCATGGGGCACCGCGGGCATTGGTCCCATGACCCCATCCCCCCGTCACGCTCTGAAACGTGCCCCCAACCCCTGGGAGTACTGACGGGCTGCATTCCCTGGGAGGGAGCTGGCTGGGATTCAGCCCCCCCGGGGGGTTGGGGCTCTGAGCCTCAACAGAAGGCGGCTTGTGGGGCAGGGGGCGACCCACTGATTCCTGCTGCAGCCCCAATGTCCAAACTCGGTGCAAAATTCATGTGTTAGAATCAAACCTTTAGAAGTTATTTTTTACCAAGTCCCTGGTTGGATTTTCAGGAGCAGGGAGGGTGAGAGGGTTGCATGGCTGGGGAGCGGGCCCTGTGAACGCTAGCTGGAAAGGAGCCTCCCTACACACAGCTCTGCCAGTGCCCCTCAGTCCCAACCCCCAGAACCCCTGAGCTCCCCCCACAGCTCTGCCAGTGCCCCTCAGTCCCGACCCCCAGAGCCCCTGAGCTCCCCACACACAGCTCTGCCAGTGCCCCTCAGTCCCAACCCCCAGAATCCCTGAGCTCCCCACACACAGCTCCGCCAGTGCCCCTCAGTCCCGACCCCCAGAGCCCCTGAGCTCCCCACACACAGCTCTGCCAGTGTCCCTCAGTCCCGACCCCCAGAGCTCGCAACACACAGCTCCACCAGTGTCCCTCAGTCCTGACCCCCAGAGCCCCTGAGCTCCCCACACACAGCTCTGCCAGTGCCCCTCAGTCATAGAATCATAGAATCATAGAATATCAGTTGGAAGGGACCTCAAGAGGTCATCTAGTCCAACCCCCTGCTCAAAGCAGGACCAATTCCCAGCTAAATCATCCCAGCCAGGGCTTTGTCAAGCCGGGCCTTAAAAACCTCCAAGGAAGGAGACTCCACCACCTCCCTAGGTA